TAATTTACTAGAAAGCAAGAAACTAATTTATAAACTATATGAGACCGCCACTGATGAACCGCATAGCTTTTTATATATTAACCTTCTCCAAAAAGACCCTAACCGTATCTTTATGAAAAACTTTTCACATTATTTGAAAATTACTAATTAAATAAAAAAAATATATTAATATTATATGATATTTTATGATTTACCATTAGACATTAAAAACCTTGTATTATCTTATAATTTAGGTGATGTTAGATTATTAAAAATAAAAAATAATAATATTATTAAAAAATATATTAGTAAATTTAAACCAGTGTATAAGTCTTACAAATTAAAGAATTCACAGTATTTTGAAATTGATAATATCATTATGAAAAATATTATCAAAAACGGCATATCATATATTTTTAACTTAAGTGAGTTAGATAAATTACATCAAAAACATAAACCATTAAAATTATTAATTGAATATGATATATTTGTTACATCTACCTCATTTACTTGTTTGAATCATGTTCGTAATCGTACTTTAACATCAAATAATTTATTTGATATTTATTATTTTCTTAATAATGACCTTTATGAAACTAATTTAGTGTATAGGGACAATGTGGCTAATTTTATTTCATTACATGTGAAAAAAATAACTATTAAAGTCATCAATTATGAAAGACAAAGTTTTATTAGTAAATCTTATTCATATTTTTTAATTAATAATGTTAATGAATCATATTAATATTATTAATTTAAATCAATGAAGCGTTGCATAAATTCAACGCAGGTAATTTATATAATAGTTTGTCCGGTTTTTGATTTTCTATCTTTTCTATTCTCGTTACACATTCTTGAATAGATTTTATTATTAAAGTATCCGCTCTCGGTTTTTCATCTACTCTTAAATTCTTAATGTCTTCCATACTGTTATGTTCTTCGTTTTTGCTTTGACCAATACCCATTATATATTATTATTTAGAATTGTCTTTTTTCAATTCCTTAATTTCTTTTTCTAATTTTTCAACTTTATCTATTACTTCAAGTAAAGCTTTATGTAATAATATTGGTATTTTTGTATATTCAATACCTACATATTCGCGACTGCTATGAACTACATTACTAATTTCTTTTGGAACTGCTTTTAATAAATCATCAGCAATGTAACCGATGTGGATTGCATCCTTATCTTCTCTATCTGTTCTTTTGAATTTTTTAGGTTTGAATTTCTTAATCATACTAATACAATTACTTTTAAGTAAATCTACATCATATTTTAATCTTGCATCAGAATTATCTATTAGACTTCCATTTATGGTTACAGTTCCAGCAGTAATATCAATAGCATCACCTGAAGCATCTTGAATATCATTTACAAATAATGTTTTTGTATTAACAACTGTTACATTTTCATTAAAAGTCGATGGAGCATTATTTGTAAAACTTTCAGTATTTACTGTTGTTCCAAATGTCTTATCAATAGATAATAAAACTGAAGGTGTAGTTGAACTATCTGAAACTCTAAAAGCTGTATTTGACGTTCTGAATATTACATCAATTGTGGATAAATTAGTTCCATCATAGTAAGTTGATATTTCACTTGTTCCCATTAATATATCTGTTCCTGTTGTCATTGAAATATTATCCAAAAATGAAACCGTTGTTAAATCAAATGATTGAATGGTATTAGTTGCTAAATATGCATTTTGTATTGCCATATTAGTATCAACGGTTATTAATGTTCCTCCGTTAGGTGCTAAATGATTGCTTCTTAATGCTCCATTAGTTTTAACATAAACATAATCAGCAAATAAATTACCCATAAAATCAGCAGTAGCAGTATTAAAAGTCCATCCGCTAGTAATATTAACTGCTCGGAATATGTTAGGATGATCAGCGGGGTCATCCGCTAAATTAAATCTTAATTGATGGTTGAACATCACCATGTATTTTGCTCTAAAAAGTCTCTTTGCGGTGTCTGCTGTGGGCCTTGCCGGGCCAACATGATCTATTATGATTTCTCTCAGTTTGTATCAATGTTAATTGACCTTCATTTCAATATTATCAATTGCTCACAATTTAACGAAGCTTTTGTGTAAATGTTATCCCTAGTTATCTTTTTTTTATAGGTTTACTATAATAATTGTTTTTATTCACTTAATCCATCACATCATTCAGTATAATGGGTGTTTTGTTTGGATTAGAAGCCGTTTTGTATAACTTCACAACACTAATGGCTACAAAATCATCATGAGACAATATTATCCTTATATGTTGGATGGGCTAGCAAATATTATATATAAAACCATTATTATTAAAATTCAAATATGAACCATTGTTAAGATTTATTGCCTTGTCAGTTCCTATAAAATCAACTGCATCAGTAAATCTCGATTTTCCGACACAGTTTAAAACATAACCGTTAACACCAACAGCACCTAAACCGAATCTATCCTTAACCCACACACGTCCAACATTAGCATCTCCTATTTGCGTTTCCCATTGACCTCCTGCGCTACTCATCCA